GGAGCGCCTGCACCCCGCAGGGCACCGACTGCCCGCAGTGCCTTTAGCCCAGCTGCGGCAGGGTGTTCCTGCTCAGAGGAAGACGCTTTCGGTCTTGGCCCTGGGAACAGGGCTGGGGAAAGGCGGGAGGGCGGCTAGAGTGTTTTGAGGAAGGAAGGAGGGAAGCAGCAGCAGGGAACGCTGCCCCCATCACCAGCCTACAGGCAAAAGAGAGAGCCAGGGTCATCTTCCCCCTCTCCACTTGGGCAGAACCCAGGGCCAAGTCGGTGCACTGAGTCCTGCCGTGAGATCCACTGGCGGGTAGCTCCTGTGGCTGCTCCTTCCTCCTGCTCCTCAGAGGAGGGTCTTCATCAGGGCCTGGGCCTGCTTCAGCTCTGAAAAGAGAGGAGGAGAGAGGAAGAGGATGGGAGTGAGACTGCAACACTAGAGACATCAAGAGGGGAAGAAGCGCGGCAACAAATTTTCTCCCAGGAGCCCGGCCTCCACACCCACTGACCACGGGGAGAGGAGAGGTGTTTTGGGAGCAATCAACACTGCAACATCAAAAGAAGCTGACACCCATGCTAGGGGGAGGACACAATCCATGCAGCGCTGTCCTTGGCACTAGGGAGAGTCTTCACCCCCTCCCCCCCGAGATAGCAATCCCTGCCGTGGGCCCTCCCTTGTCCTTACCTGCCAGCAGGACCCGGAACTTGTCTGCTGACACGGCCATGGGGACGGTCTCCGTCACTCCACTGTCCCTGTCCCGCACACTGAACATCAGGTGCACGAGGGGTTCGTTGACCTCCTGTAGCTCGCTGGAGCTGAGCGTGTAATCCACCCTCCAGGAAACCGAGTCCAGCTGGCTCACTAGGGCAGGCAGACAGGCGGAGTGAGCGCTCCAGCTCGCTCAGGCAGGGCGATGCCCCATCAAAAGCAACCCAAAGACCTTCCCAGTTCTGAAACAGAGGCAGCTTTGGGGTGGAACACGGCTGCAGCCTTAACAGCACACAGTGATGCTACGAGGCTCAGGAGACAGAGCTCCCGAACAAAGAATCTGACCAAGGGGAGGCACCCAAGCTCCTCGAAGAAAAGATTCTCATGGGTCTTGCTATTCAAGACCCTAATTTTGGCGGTCAACACGCAGTAGTTCTCAAACACATCCTCCCAGGAAACAGTCTCTGAGCCACATCTCCCCCTGCTGCCAAAAATCAATGGCTAGTTATACTTGCAAGACTGAAAGCCACACTCACATCTCAGGCTGCAAGCCCTGAGGCTGTCTTGGAGGGGACTCTGCTTCTCCTCGTAGGATCGGCACAACCCTGTGGCATGCTCTATCCAAGAAGAAAGACGAGACAAAAAAAACCCCACCCGTAAATGCCAGTCCTAGTCCCGGTACAGCCGAAGCCCACTTCGGAGGAAATATGACACAGCCCCAAGCACCTGCGGGAGATGCTGGGGACAGGCGGCTTGAGCAGGAGGTAACAGGGGAGAGCACAGCCGGCATCCTGCAGTGCTCACTCTGGGGCTGAGCAAGGAGAAAGCGGTGCCCAAGAGTGACAGCTCAGCCCAGACACACCCCACCGAGTCTGGGGCTTGCACAGGCCCTCACGACACCCCGCGGTGCCCAGCCCTCCTCCTACCTTTGGGCAGTCCCAGCTGCTGCAGCTCGCTGGACAGGGACTCGCTGTCCACGCTGTGCTTGGCTGCGCTGGTGAGGATGAAGCTGAGAACGGCAATTGTGGCTTTCACGTCCCCAGACTCTGTGGAGAGAAGGGGATTTAGCTCAATGGCAAAAAGGACCTGTCCCATCCCCCCCTTCAGCAGATGCCACCTCTTGCAGAGCTGGGAAGTGGGGAGAGCAGGGAAATAAAGTGAAGAAAAGCAAAATTCCCTTCTCAGAAATGGGTGGGGTGGGGTGATGTGTTTGGAGAGAGAAGGGACTACGCAGCACGGCTTATAAACAGGGCAGCAGGGTCCCGGGCGGCTTCCCAGTGACTTCAGAAAGGTCTCCTCTGCCAGATCTGCCACTGGTTCGTGGCACTGGGCTCCTTGGTGACAGCACAACCCCGTCCCCATCCCCAGACCCCTGCTCCTCCTGGGCGAGCCCCGACCAGCACCGTGGGAATCTCAGCACCGGTGAGGAGCAGCGCTCACCTAACTTGGCGTCTGATGTCAACTTCAGGATCTTTTCATACTGCAGGAGGGAAGAGCAAATCCCTGTCACGGTGGTCATGGGAAACCCTGCCCCAACACACCCCCGCGCCCGTCCCAGCCGTGCTGGGGGCTGCAGGCACCCAGTCCTCCTGGGCTGCTGCCTCTCCAGGGAGTGCAGCCGAAGCTGCTGGATCTAGGCTGGGTCATTTACCAGAGGCCAGGAACCACCCCGAGGTCAGACACCCTTTCCGCTGGCCCAGAGCCCTTCCCGCTGCCTGGATATGAGGTTACAATATAGCCGTATAACATACTAACAAACAACATGAACGCTAACAATAGTAAGACTAACATTAACGCTGCTAGTAGTCATACTAATAAAATTGCTAGCATTAATACTAACGCCCACAACTTGACAGATACTAATAGCACCACAACAGCGTTACAACACAGCTTAAGACGACCCGTCGGCGGGGATGCGGCGGCGGGGCCCGTGCGCGTGCGTGTGAACGTGTGCGTGAGTGTGCGTGTGTGCGTGTGCGTGCGTGTGTGCGTGTGCGTGAGTGTGCGTGTGCGCGTGTGCGTGCGTATGTGCGTATGAGTGTGTGTGTGTGCGTATGTGTGTGTGTGCGAGCGTGAGTGTGCGCGTGTGTGTGTGTGCGCGTGTGTGTGTGTGTGTGAGCGTGCGTGTGTGAGCGTGTGTGCAAGCGTGAGTGTGCATATGTGAGTGTGTGTGCGTGTGTGTGTGTGAGTGTGTGTGCACGTATGTGTGTGTGTCTGTGTGAGCGTGTGTGTGTGAGCGTGTGTGCAAGCGTGAGTGTGCATATGTGAGTGTGTGTGCGTGTGTGTGTGTGAGTGTGTGTGCACGTATGTGTGTGTGTCTGTGTGAGCGTGTGTGTGTGAGCGTGTGTGCAAGCGTGAGTGTGCATATGTGAGTGTGTGTGCGTGTGTGTGTGTGAGTGTGTGTGCACGTATGTGTGTGTGTCTGTGTGAGCGTGTGTGTGTGAGCGTGTGTGCAAGCGTGAGTGTGCATATGTGAGTGTGTGTGCGTGTGTGTGTGTGAGTGTGTGTGCACGTATGTGTGTGTGTCTGTGTGAGCGTGTGTGTGTGAGCGTGTGTGCAAGCGTGAGTGTGCATATGTGAGTGTGTGTGCGTGTGTGTGTGTGAGTGTGTGTGCACGTATGTGTGTGTGTCTGTGTGAGCGTGTGTGTGTGAGCGTGTGTGCAAGCGTGAGTGTGCATATGTGAGTGTGTGTGCGTGTGTGTGTGTGAGTGTGTGTGCACGTATGTGTGTGTGTCTGTGTGAGCGTGTGTGTGTGAGCGTGTGTGCAAGCGTGAGTGTGCATATGTGAGTGTGTGTGCGTGTGTGTGTGTGAGTGTGTGTGCACGTATGTGTGTGTGTCTGTGTGAGCGTGTGTGTGTGAGTGTGTGTGCAAGCGTGAGTGTGCATATGTGAGTGTGTGTGCGTGTGTGTGAGTGTGTGTATGAGTGTGTGTGTGCCTGTATGAGCGTGCGTGTGTGAGTGTGTGTATGTGAGTGCGCGCGTGTGTGCGCGCGTGTGTATGAGTGTGTGAGTGCGCGTATGTGTGTGAGTGCGTGAGTGTGTGTGTGTGAGTCTATGTGAGAGTGTGTGAGTGTGCACATGCGTGTGCATGAGTGCGTGTGTGAGTGTGCACGTGTGTGTGTGCGTGTTTGTGCGCGCGCGTATGTGTGTGTGCATATGTGTGTGCATGTGTGTGCGTGTGAGTGCGTGAGAGTATGTGGGGTGTATGACTGTGCATGTGCATGCATGTGTGTGTGTATGCCTGTGTGTGTGTGCACGTGTGTGAGTGTGCATGTGAGTGCGTGTGTGAGTGCATGAGTGTATGTACGTGCACGTGCGTGTGCATGAGTGCGTGTGGCGTGCATGTGTGTGAGTGTGCATGTGTGTGAGTGCATGTGTGTGAGTGTATGCCTACGTGTGCATGTGCATGCGTGTGAGCGTGAGCCTGTATGTGAGAATAGGTGTGTGTGAGTGCGTGCGCATGCATGTGTGTGTGAGCGTGTGTGTGAGAGTGAGAGTGCTTGTGTGGAGCGGGGGTGTTCTGCCTGGGTGTGCGGAGGGGTGCTGTGTGAGTGTGGGG